CTGAAGGATCACGTGACACTCATGCTGAAAATTCAGCTTTGCGTCACAGGAATAAAGTACATTTTCAAAACATTTCAATAGAAAACAGTTCTTTAATATCCTAATAATATTTCACAATATTACTGTTTTTACTTTGATCAAATAAATGCTTTCTTGGTAAGCATAAAAGGCTTATTTCAATATTTATGTATTTATTTTAGTGCTGTCAAACGATTAATCGCGATTAATCTCAAAAGTTTTTGTTTACATAATATATGTACTGTGTATATTTATTATGTATATATAAATACACACACATACAGTATATATTTTGAAAATATTTACATGTATATACATTTATATGTTTATATTCTTATATTTTATATATAAATATATTTAATATAGAAAAAGAATGTTTTTCTTAAAAAGTTACATGCATGTGTTTGTATTTATATATACATAATAAATATACACAGTATACGTACATAATATTTTGTAAACAAAAACTTTTATTTTGGATGCGATTAATCGCGATTAACCGTTTGACAGCAGTAATTTATTTGTTTATTTGAACAAGGGTAAATATTGGCTTGTTGGTGAGTAATCATCAATGATAATTTTCGATCATTTTTGCTAAATAAAAGTATTGTTTTGTTTTGTTTACTTCTTACAGACACCAAACTTTTAAAGGTACAGCGTATTTCATATCAGCTGTGCTTTTACATCATGCTAATCAGTAAATGGTACATTTTATGTGAGGATTTTAAATTTGTTTTAGTAATGCATCTGTCATTATTATAGCAAGTACGTCAAGTCGGCGCACCTGCTAGAATCAACTTAAGCATTTACATTGACTTAGTCATGTTTGAGTGCATCACAAAAGACTGCTTAATGCATGCTCGCGTGACTATTGAGTTGCAGGGCGCACATGGCCCATTTAAATTCATTAGGACGAGGTGTTTGCTGTGACATGCTTTGGGACACTCCATGCGTGGGATAACCCAGCGTGATGCTGCACAGAGAGAAACCCAAGAGCCTGAGGCTGACAAGGACACCGGATACAGAGGTGCTACTTACCCTGCAACACTGATGTCATGGGCCATGATGATACCTCATATCCTATACGGTTACTGAGCAATCATTTATTCATTTACGGTTGCTTATATTCTCTGCAAGCACTAAGTTACACTACATTGACCTCTACTAAGGTGTCTCTTTTGGCAGCCCTCAGCTACTTTTAGTGTGTCAGAGGCTAACTAGCCTAGAATGCTATTTTAGCAGGAAGAACAAGTACAACAGCAGTACCCTTTAAGCCAGGGACATCATTGCATCCCTAAAAGGTTTATAGTAGTAGCTTAAAGATACATATTACTTCTCTAAAGTACTAATATGCAGCTTTTAGGGGTAAATGTGGTACAAAGTTGTCCCTTTAAGTGTGCTGCTGTTTTCAGTGTAGATGCTAAAAGCCATTTTTAAATTTTAAAAAGTAAGTAAAAACGTGCGATATAATTTTTTACAATAATTATCTTGGGCGTACACTTATTATTCCAAATATCTACTTTTACTATCCATTCAGTCATTGTAAAGTATCGCCATCTATTGGAAGAGATTGTTTGTTTGTGTATTTGAACAGATGAATATTGGCATGTTGTCGAGTAATTATAATCTTTACTATGTCTCTACTATCATTTTTCGATCAATTGAATGCATCCTTGCTGAATAAAAGTGTACATTTCTTTAAAAAATAGAAAACAGCTATTTTAAATTGATTAAATTCAATTATTTTATTTGAACAGACAGGCTTTGGCTTGTAAGTGAGTAATTATAATGTTTGTGAATATAGATGTGAGTCAAGGTATTTCACATTTGCAGTAACACTAAACAAACAGTTATCCACCAAACAAACAGTTATCCACCAAACAAACAGTTATCCACCAAACAAACAGTTATTATAATAAGCGTGATCCCAAATAATCCACCAAATAGTTTTTATTTCATTTTATTTTACTGAAATGGAATTGTGGTTATAAACTTTCTGCATACAGCTGGAGAGAAAAAGCAGATTTACAAGAAGAAATGAAAAGAGGTCTATATTGAAAAAGAATATTTATTCTTTTCGTATCGTCCGTTCCTGTAAAAGTGCATCAGATTTTACAGTAAGCAAAATTCATATTTAAGACAGGAGACACAACCACTACATTCACAGTCATCATTTTGACAGTGCGCTGCATGGGAGGAAACTTCTCATAAGCATCATGAGTATAAAAATTATTTATAGTAAGATGAAAATGGGAGGTCTTGGGCAAAGTTGTTCATTCAGAGCAAGAGGTGTTGTTGGTCAGAAGCAATTTATGCCTTAACCAAGGCAGCGAACTCTGTCAGAAAGAAGCAATCGACATGTTAAAATCTGCTTTTTAATCAAAATAGTATGCATTTGATTTTCTTAAAGTGCATGGGAAGCATAGTGAGGTGCATTTGTTATATGTTCAAGGCAGATGAGTGAATGTGACTGACCATCAACTCCGATCTTGCCATCACCATCAGAATCTCCAGCCTTCAGGAAAGTCTTGGTCTCGCCGTCAGTCAGTGCCCTGGCATTAGCCTTGAAGTTCTGCAGGAACAGTCTGCAAACGCGAGTTTGAGAACACATTTCATTTATGGTGTTTAAAAGCCCAATCAGTCCAGTTTTAGTATTACAAAAAATATTTGTTTGCTCTTACTTCAGTTCATCCTCCTCAATGAAGCCACTCTTGTCCTGATCAATGATTGCGAAAGCCTTCTTCACATCATCAGCAGACTTGCTGGTCAGACCGACCTTGGCGAAGAAAGCCTTGTGCTTGAAGGAGTCAGCAGCTGTGTGGGAAATACATTAATAAAGGTGCCATAAAAGAACCTTTTTTGTCTAAATGGTTCCATAAAGGACCTTTAACATCTTTCACAAAAGCTTCTTCAGATTATAAAAAGGTAAGAAAGAAATGGTTCTTCTATGGCATCTCTTATTTTTAAGAGTGCACGCTTTAATAGAGGAAGGTGTGTTAAAGTTCGGTCTGCTCGTGTTTTCTCTCACCCTTGCATGCCTCCAGTGCTGCAGAGATGTCAGCGTCGTTCAGGACTCCGGCGAAGGCCATCTTTAGCTAAATGGATATTAAAACAGGAAATACTACACACAACTCTCATTGATTGATCTCCAAAAGCTCATATGCATTTAGTCCCGTTTGTCTCCTCCAAATGTATTAATACCTGGCAAGGTTTAATCTAATAGCATTTCATTTGTTTCATGCCATCGACCATGCAAATCCCATAAAAACTGCGAAAAGGGAAGCGTGTCAAATGTGGATATGAGTTACGAGGATGTTAAATCCCAAAGAGTGCGTGTGTGTGACCACGAGCTCCTCTTAAAATAAACCAGCGGCAGGCAAAAAATAAAGAAAAAAATCCCACAGCCGATTCAGATGAAGAGAAAATTTAGGATGCAAAAGCTTTTAATTTCCATTATTGACTGAAACCAATTGAGTCCAGTTATTTTTGTTTGTGTGTTTCTTCAGAGATAGACTGGGTCCCCCGTGCAAACTCACCTCTTTTGTCTTTTGGTGCTGAAGGTAGTTTCAGAAGACTCGAGCTGTGAACTGCAGTGATCTCCGGGCCCCTGATCTCCCCCTTATATATACCTTCAGCGACTCCAAATATGAATCATAATGTAATAGACACCCGTCGGCCGAGGGGCCATTTGACATGCGCCCAGCACACACACTGTACTATATTTATCTTCAAAAACGAAGATGCTTAAAAGGTGCGTTTGAAAAAAAAGTCCATCATATACTCGCATGCTAATAATACACGCTGCTGATAGTGCATGGACATATTCCTATGGACACTTGCTCCCCGGGTTATATGAAGGGAGACATTCGGGACACTTTTCAGTGGGAGATTTCTGTTTGTGCTCTGGGTATGGACTCTCCGGTTGTGTTTGCTTATATTACTGGTTATATTGTCGTGTAAAATGCTTCATTTGTTCATTTAGTTACAATACTGATAGTTTGCATGAGATTTTTGTTTGTGCTTGCTGTCTTGGATTTTACCTCATTAAAAATGTTCTGGTTTTCTCTTAATGCTGTTTTCTGTATGAATTTTTTTTTTTTTTAATTCTTTCATTTATGAGCATTGTATGTTCATGACTTGAATGTATGATATGTTAATCTTGAACTTGAACTGTACTAACATAAAGTTGCTAAATTAATATTTGCTTGAACCTTTTCCCATTGAACTTATCAAAAAGGAGCGTATTAAGCTATTTTTGTGAATGTGCACAGTATATTATGAAGTGTGTTACTACTATTAACTCACTCTTGACAGTTGCATACAACCTTCAAACAGCAGAGAGCAGCAGAGTTCATCCAGCTATGGCTGGTTTTACAGGCAGAAACTCTTCTACTTGTTCTACACCGTCGAAAGATGAACATGTTTCACTAAAACTTGTTTTATGTTAGACACATACTCTTTTTATCATTTCTAAATAGCCTAAAGTGTCCGGGTTTTGACTTTGTTTTCCTGTTGTTTTCATTCTTTCTGATCACAAAGGGTCACTCTAAATTAGAATTAAGGATAATTATATAAGTTGTCTAAAAGCAAAAGGATTTAAAGGTCCAATTAAGAATGTCAGCAGTTTGATTCACCGTTGTGGTTAACAGCACATTATTGCAAGAGCATTGCCAGTTGCTCTAATGAAGTCGTGCCCGTTGCAGGGCGTTTAATGGGTTTTTGAAGACTGAGCTTGGCTGGCGCTTTGTTTGAGTGTTTGATGAGCTATTCTGAGCATTAAAGTAGCTGCCACAGACTCTTAATTGGGCATGTGAAAACTATCCACTGCAAATCCTTTCCAGTGCATCTCAGCATATCTCCGGGCCTTCCCTCGGCCAGCCTCGTGCCAAGAGTGCATTATTATCATGAGAGCTGCCCGGGAGGACATCCTGCGGCGGAGCGGGAATGGCACAAACCCAAAAGATTCAGCTTCAAAGACACGGTACACCAAAACTATATTTATTCCTCGTTTTTCACTCTTCCCCAGAAGTGCATTCAAGATTGTACATGTGCACAAGCCAGTGGGCTTGAAATACAACATCCAACTAACACAACCAGAACCCTCATCCAGACACTGTACTCAAAACTGAGTCAACTGTCCAAAGTCAGTCATAAATAAGATCATATAAAAAAAATGTTCGGCTGAGAAAGATGTGAGCTGTCGTGAGTTCTGGTTCCTTGATATTTGAAGGGTCTTGGTCGGATGAAAATTTAAGCCTTTACAAGAGCAGCAAACTCTGCGAGATAAGACAGAGATGAGACTAGCGTTAGGCAATTCTGCAAATATCACCAATTTCATTTCCAAATGTCGTCAGGGGACTGTTAAGTGTTGGTAAACTGCACTCGTCGTCCTACACTACAGTGGAGCGTCAGTGGATGCTGCCAAGTAAACAGCTCAATGATAAGAATGGCCTGCTGGCCTGAGAGAGTTTCTGCTCGGTTAATGGCGCTGTCACTTGCCCTACATTACATGTGATTTTTGTTCTTTTTGTAATATTTGGTTGTGCATTCTTTTTCTCAGCTTGTTAGCTAGGTAAAATCATCTAACGGACTATCGTAAATGTCGTTAAAATCGCAAGAATGACTTGTTATAGTCTTAATATCCGTAAGAATGGGTTAACAAAAATGTCCTTGAAATTAGAATCATATAATGAATAATATTATGAATAATAAATATAAAATATGCATATGAATAAAAGTAAATATTAAATGCATATGTAAAAATTACGTATAGAAATGGAAATTTTGAATATGTTATTGCAAATATTCATTGTAAAGAAATGGGGGGGGGGATATATCATGTAATATAATATAATGTAATGTCATATCATAATATAATATAATAGCAAAATTACTTTCTTTAGTGCTATACGTTAGAAATCTTTCAGAAATGTATACATTTCATTATACATCTTAAACATATTTTTTTTATTAGTCTGAGTCTATGTTTATTCACGTATATGAAATCTTTAGATTACATGTAAGTTATTAGTACTAGCTCAAATGAACCTCTTTGAAATCATTAGCAAACATCAGTGCATTCTGCAGTGCTTCATCAGTTCACATGTATTAACATAGTCAGAAATGTGATTTGATTAATACGTCTTTATGTTTGAATGCGCATGAACTGCTGATCTGTTACGCAGTTGCTAATGACTTCTACATGGCAGTTATTATACCCAGTTGTGATAAGCTGTAATATGAGATTATCGCACGATGTCTTACCCTGGCAGGCAGAAATAGCAGCATCCACATCAGCTGCGGCGAGCATAGCAGCAACGGCCATTGTTCTGGTTCTGATTAAGCTGCAAAACAGCAAAATACTGAATAAGAGCAACGCACAAAATGCAATACATCAATAAACAATCCCGTATTCCCTCATAAGTTCAAACATCTAGACTCGTGCATCTCGGACCCATCAGCAAGTGCCTGGTTTTCCTCTTATACAGACGTAAGAGAAACATTTACACTAAAGCACTACCGATCGCAAGGCTTTATCATCTATATAGTTATCCTCGGCGTCAAGCCATTCAGTGTCCAAGGTCTCCCGTCTTTAGCCTCTGCATCCACATGCTCCTGATGCTCCCCATTAACACAACATATTCCACAGGCCCTGTCCGGGATCCTAAAGTGTTAACAAGTCGACGAGCCTCTGTGGACCGCTGCATCCGCTGCATGGACTCACCTTGCGCTTGTCTAAGGCGAGTGAAAAACCAAAGGAGTTAGTCGAGGTGTAACTAACACTTCTGGGGGTCCCAGCTTATATACCCTCAGCCTCAGCATTTACAGGAATTCGATGCTCAGTAACAGATACTGCATGTGGGTCTAGGTTTGGAATAGTGTTGAAAAAATGTGTCCAGTAGTCAACTTGGGCTATTTTTAGTCTCCCGAGCGATATTCAGAACCATGTGTGGGACCCTATAGATCATGAGGCCCTCCTCCCTCAGCCGGCTCGGGTTAAGCAGACGTCCGCTCCCACCTTATCACGAGTTTGATCAAGATGTTTATTCCAGCTTTAATTGGACATTTGTGGACAAAAACCCATCAGATATCACTGAGCGTGTGTTTGTTTGGATTGGGCCGGATCGGGTTTCTCTCCCAGGTTAGAAACTATGAGAGCTGTGGCGCAATAAACGCCGTCTCGAGGCTGTAAATCATGTCATTGCGTGATAAGAATAATTCGACGTTGAGGGGCTTATTATGATCAATACTGAAACTTTAGCAGGAGTATTGTGTTCATGTCACAGACTGGAGTAGAGATAGTGTTCATATAACTCAGTTTATATGGCCTACATGAAGCATATTGTGCAATCTGAAGACGAAAGCTTCATAACACCCTTCATATTTCTTGTACACTAAATGAATGGCGTAGGATCTACTTTGAAATTATTTGTATTCAGAAATTGCTGGTATAATACAAAGAAATGGCATTTTTAATGTCTTGAAAAACATATGGTAATAATCTTTGTTTTATTTACAACTTTAAAACACATTGGTTAATTCATTTTTTTCATAATTGCTAATCTTTGAAATTACTGGAACCATTATTTTCAGTTCTTATTTATCCTCCTATTTTTAAATTAATGTTATTTTAATATTATCATTTTATTTATTTTTATTTTTGTAATGTTTGTAGTGCTTTCTTTTTCCTATATTTGGATGTGATTTTCACTTCTAAAATTTTAATTCTGTTTTTATCTCAAACATTTATTTTATTTTATCTTATCTTATCTTATCTTATCTTATCTTATCTTATCTTATCTTATCTTATCTTATCTTATCTTATCTTATCTTATCTTATCTTATCTTATCTTATCTTATCTTATCTTATCTTATCTTATCTTATCTTATCTTATCTTATCTTATCTTATCTTATCTTATCTTATCTTATCTTATCTTATCTTATCTTATCTTATCTTATCTTATCTTATCTTATCTTATCTTATCTTATCTTATCTTATCTTATCTTATCTTATCTTATCTTATCTTATCTTATCTTATCTTATCTTATCTTATCTTATCTTATCTTATTTTATTTTATTTTATTTTATTTTATTTTATATTATTTTATTTTATTTTACACTCTTAAAAATAAAGGTGCTTCAAAAAGTTCTTCAAGTGATGCCATAGAAGAACCATTTTTTGGTTCCACAAAGAACCATTCAGTCAAAGGTTCTTTAAAGAACCATCTCTTTCTTACCTTTTTCTTCTATGGCATCGTGAAGTACCTTTATTTTTAAGAGTGTATTTTATTTTATTTTATTTTATTTTTAAGAGTGTATTTTATTTTATTTTTAAGAGTGTATTTTATTTTATTTTATTTTATTTTATTTTATTTTTAAGAGTGTATTTTCTTTTATTGTTAAGTGTATTTTATTTTATTTTTAAGAGTGTATTTTCTTTTATTTTTAAAAGTGTATTTTATTTTTAAGAATGTATTTTATTTTTAAGAGTGTATTTTATTTTATTTTATTTTTAAGAGTATTTTTTTTTTAAGAGTGTATTCTATTTAATTTTTAAGAGTGGATTTTATTTTTAAAAGTGTATTTTTTATTATTTTATTTTATTTTATTGTTGTCATGTCCTGTATTTCATACACTTGAAAAGTATAAAAGATCACATGAGGCAAAGCTGGATAAAAGAATTCCTGTATTTGGAGACTTCATTTTAATTGAGCAGTTTCATATATTCTATGATCACTAGTTACAGAAGCAAATATTGATGTGTTCCCAATTTGCACTTTACTACAAAGACTTGCTAAACATATTTTAATAAGCAACTCACATAAAAAGCAATCACAGATAGGCTAATGCATGCAAATAAATAAGAGAAAATCATGAAATGAAGTTCAGTGAAGACATTCACCACATTTTCATTTCAGCAAGGCGCAGAATTCTGAGAAAAAAAGAAGAAAAGCGAGAAAAACAAGTGAAATGCTGTCCCAAATATTTGAGACTGTTCAGTCAACATTGTCCAATTCATTGATTTCAAATGAAAGTAGTAATGTAGAAAGTAGTTTTGGAAAGAAATTCAACTTCTACAAAACTAATTTTAACAATAATAATGAATAAATACAGTAAGCATGATTGTGATCTGTGTTGCTGGTGAGTGTGTGTGTGTGTGTGTGTGTGTGTGAGAGAGAGAGAGTGTGTGTGTGTGTGTGTATGTGTGTGAGAGAGAGATAGTGTGTGTGTGTGTGTGTGTGTGTGTGTGTGTGTGTGTGTGTGTGTGTGTGAGCTTCTACAAAACTAATTTTAACAATATAAGCAGAAATCTTTAGGCCATATTTCCAAATTCCCCAAATGTTAGAATATAATCTACTATAATAGAACACTTCTCAGAATGAAAGTGCGGCTGCTTCTCACATGCAAATCTAAGTTATTTTCTTTACTGCCAGAGTCAGTGAATTCCCAGGAAGTAGAATTGGTCTAATTCTCATTTGTCCAGCTGATTAAGTCAGGAGTCAGACAGTGAAGGAGGAGCCCTGGTTTCTACAGGAGTACGGCTCCCTGGGGCCTATTCTTCAAGGCCTAAGAGCTGATTTGGATTTACCTTGCATGCCAATTTTGCCGTCTCCATCACTGTCTCCAGCTGCCAGGAGAGTGTTGGTCTCGGCCTCTGTGAGCTCTCTGGCCTTCGGGCAGAAGTTCTGGAGGAAGCGTCTGGAGAGGAGACACAGTCAAAGAACAGCATGCGCCAATTCAACTACATATACTAGTGCTACAATCCACGAATAGACAAGGTTTAAAGAGAATGCTTTACTTCAGCTCCTCTTTTTCAATGAATCCGCTCTTGTCCTGGTCCAGGGCCTTGAACACCTTCTCCCCGTCGGAAGCAGCTTTACCTAGCAGGCCCACATGTTCAAAGAATGCCTGGAAGTTGAAAGTCCCTGGGGCTGAAAGACAAAAATATGATAAACAAAATAGAATATGAAATGTCTAGACCTAAAAAGATTTATGTATTTGGAGTTCATATGAAAGTTCCGTCCATTTTGAATGAACACAAGCTAATAATCCAAATGCGATGCATATTTGGCAGTCATACATACATAAAAATAAACAAAAGTTAAACTTTATATATTATATATCATCGGTGATCATGAATATTGCTTGTTCCACAGCTAGCCTTACATTAACATCACTGGAGTACATTTTACAAGAAAATACTATTTCAGTTTTTCTACTTGCAAATTTCAGTTTGTTATTTGACATTTCTTTATAATTAATTGTGAAATTTACGAGCAATTTCTAAGTGAAAATTGTATCTAGACCACTTTTTTTCAGTGATATTGTAACTATGTTCATACTTTTAAACTGATTAAATTGTTTTCACAATGAACATGCTTGAATAAATGCATTCAAATGCATAATTACTTAAATCAAATCTAATAGATGCAAATAGTTTATAAACTATACCATGATTTTTTTTGGAGTGCAGAAATCTTTCCAATTCCTTACCTGTTTAATGGATGTTTGACTGATGAATGTGCATCACTTATTACAGTAGTTTATGTTAAAACTGTATGGAAATGTCATACTCAGATAAATAAATCTTAAATTTAGGCCTGTTTTTATTATTTTATTTTATTTTATTTTATTTTATTTTATTTTATTTTATTTTATTTTGAGTGGAATAGAATACCAACTGTTTTTCTGGTCTGACTTTGGCATTGATGCACAATGGACTGCTACTAGTTGCATTAATGCTAACTCAATATGATTGTATAATAATTTTTAATAAACTCTAAGTTACAAAAGCAAAAACATCTCTGTACCTTATTTACCCCTAAATGCTACATATTACTTTAAAGCTACATAATTAGTCATTTAGAAGTACATATTAGTACCTTTTTATGGGTACCACTTTGTACCTTTTTTTCGGAGACTGTAATTTGCATGTGCATGTGATTCAAAAATAGATATTAGATATATTGCATTGGTTTGGATAACATATTTTTGTGTCATTTGTGATGAATAGTTACAGTAAGCATGATTGTGATCTGTGTTGCTGGTGTGTGTGTGTGTGTGTGAGAGAGAGAGAGAGAG